AAATCATAAAAATTTACAAAAATCATAAAAATTTACAAAAATCATAAAAATTTACAAAAATCATAAAAATTTACAAAAATCATAAAAATTTACAAAAATCATAAAAATTTCCAAAAATCATAAAAATTTAACAAAACTCGAAAAAATTATAAAAATTTAGAAAATCAGGAAAATTGCAAAAATCACGAAAATCATAAAAATTTACAAAAATCATAAAAATTTACAAAAATCATAAAAATTCACAAAAATCATAAAAATTTACAAAAATCATAAAAATTTACAAAAATCATAAAAATTTACAAAAATCACAAAAATCATGAAAATTTTCAAAAATCATAAAAATTTACAAAAATCATAAAAATTTACAAAAATCATAAAAATTTACAAAAATCATAAAAATTTCCAAAAATCATAAAAATTTAACAAAACTCGAAAAAATTATAAAAATTTAGAAAATCAGGAAAATTGCAAAAATCACGAAAATCATAAAAATTTACAAAAATCACAAAAATCATGAAAATTTTCAAAAATCATAAAAATTTACAAAAATCATAAAAATTTACAAAAATCATAAAAATTTACAAAAATCATAAAAATTTCCAAAAATCATAAAAATTTAACAAAATTCGAAAAAATTATAAAAATTTAGAAAATCAGGAAAATTGCAAAAATCACGAAAATCATAAAAATTTACAAAAATCACAAAAATCATGAAAATTTTCAAAAATCATAAAAATTTACAAAAATCATAAAAATTTCCAAAAATCATAAAAATTTACAAAAATCATAAAAATTTCCAAAAATCATAAAAATTTAACAAAATTCGAAAAAATTATAAAAATTTAGAAAATCAGGAAAATTGCAAAAATCACGAAAATCATAAAAATTTACAAAAATCATGAAAATTTTCAAAAATCATAAAAATTTACAAAAATCATAAAAATTTCCAAAAATCATAAAAATTTAAGAAGTCAAAAAATTACAGTAATTCGAAAAAATCATGGAAATTGAGAAAATCAGAAATATTACAAAAATCACGTATATCATAAAAATTTACAAAAATCACGAAAATCATAAAAATTCACAAAAATCATGAAAATTTATGAAAATCATAAAAATTCACAAAAAATCATGAAAATTTATGAAAATCATAAAAATTCACAAAAAATCATAGAAATTCATAAAAATCAAAAAACCATGAAAATTCGAAAAAATTCAAGAAAATCATAAAAATTCACAAAAATTATGAAAATTTCCAAAAAAAAAATTTAGGAAAATCAAACATCATGAAAATTTACAAAAATCATAAAAATTTAAAAAAAATTACAAAAGATTACAATTACAATAATTCCAAAAAAATCATGGAAATTAAGAAAATCAGGAAAATTACCAAAATCGCGAAAATCGTGAAAATTTCAAAAATCTTCGGCTTCGGTGAAATATGAGTAAAATTCCCAGGCAAAATTCAGTAAAATTCTCCTGTGAAAAATAATTAGAACGAATAAAAAGTGAGTAAAATTTTCGGTCAAAAATGAGTCAAGTAGGTACTTCGGTAAAGTGAGTAAAATTCCCGGTCAAAATTCAAAATAAGTGAAATTTTTGGGAGAAAAGTAATCTGTTAAAAAAAAAGAGTAAAAATTAAGTGAAATTCACAATCAATAATGAGTAAGTCTACAGTTAATAAATTCCTGGTTAAAAATTAGTAAAATTGTCTTATCGAAAAAAAAATCTGTCAAAAATCAATAAAAAGTAAGTAAAATTCCCAATCAAAAATTAATAAAATTTGTGGTCAAAAATGAGTAAAATTGGAGGTCAAAAATGAATAAAATTCTTCGGTAAAATATGAGTAAAATTCCCGGTCAAAATTCAGTAAAATTCTCCTGTGAAAAATGATTAAAACGAGTAAAAAGTGAGAAAAATTTTCGGTCAAAAATGAGTCAAGTACTTTGGTAAAATGAGTAAAATTTCCAGTCAAAATTCAAAATAAGTAAAATTCTTTGGTAAAAAATTGATAAAATCATGTAAAATTTGCAGTCAATAATGAGTAAGTCTACGGTAAAAAAATTCCCGGTAAAAAACGAGTAAAATTCTCTTATCGAAAAAAAATCTATCAAAAATCAGTAAAAACTGAGTAAAATTACCAATCAAAAATTAATAAAATTCGCGATAAAAAATAAATAAAATTCGTTGTCAAAAACGAGTAAAATTCGAGGTCAAAAATGAGTAAAATTCTTCGGTAAAATATGAGTAAAATTCCCGGTCAAAATTCAGTAAAATTTTCCCGTGAAAAATGATTAAAATGAGTAAAAAATGAATACATTTTTCGGTCAAAAATGAGTCTAGTACTTCGGTAAAATGAGTAAAACTTCCGATCAAATTCAAAATAAGTAAAATTCTTCGGAGAAAAATAATCTCTGTCAAAAATGAGTAAAAATTAAGTGAAATTCTAAAATTTGAGCATTTATTAATATTTTCGGATTTTAAAGGACATGCACAGGATATTTTCTGTCCTTTGACACCTTTCAAAAGGGCAAAGGACATTAGTCTAAAATAAAGGACGATTGGCAACCCTGCATCTAGTAGATGCCCCTTCCACCGGCCCGAGGGCCAAATAAAACGCATGATCAATAATCAAGATTAAATAATAACAAATATCATAAATTACATTGTTGCCAAACTAACTTATAAAATCTAAAATTTTCGATATTTTGCATTAAATCCTGTATTTTATTATTATTTCCAGAATCATCAACAACGACACCCCCATAGTAATTTCCCGTATCGATTCGGCCACTGAAGCCCTACAAAAACAGGCCGACATCGTGTCACATTTGACACAAATTGAAAACAGCACTGAAACATTGAAGACCAACGTCACTAGCCAACTGAGATCTGATTCAAATGAAACTGCACCAAACAAAACTGAAGCCGAAGATATTCCATCTTTCTCAGAGTGGGCCCAAAAACACTTGGAAGAAGCGGAAAAAAACCATCTCAACCTTACAATAAATACAACAAAAAGTACCAAGTTGCGCTGGAAAAATTATGCCTCAGTTGATTGTGGGGCAAAAGTCATTTTGGCCAATCAGGAAGCGCAACATACTTGGGCCATTTTGGTTGGTTCTCGAGACGAGTACATTTTAAACCCTTGCAACAGCCGCAGCATTTGGTTTATTGTTGAACTTTGTGAGGCGATTCAATTGAAGAAAATCGATTTGGCCAACTTTGAACTTTTTAGTTCTTCGCCTAAGGATTTTGCTGTATATATAAGCGACAGATTTCCTACAAGGGATTGGAGTTTGGTGGGCCAATTTACAGCCAAAGATGAGCGCAACGTGCAAAACTTTGACATAAACTCAGAAAGTTTTGGCAAATACGTAAAAGTGGAAATCAAATCGCATTATGGCTCAGAACATTATTGTCCTTTAACATTGTTCCGTGCCTATGGCATGTCAGTATTTGAAGCATTACAAAAAGATGATCCAGGGACATACTGATGATGACGATGATGACGATGATTTACTAGACTCAAAACAAGAAAATTCTGGAAAATCTATTAAGCTCTGCAACAGATGCAGTATTGTCAATGGTCAAAAAAGCCGCACAAGTTTTAGGAAACAAAGTCAACAATAGCGGCAACACTGCAAGGATGCCATTAATCAAATCGTGCAACAGTCCCAGTCATTATATAATTTGCAACAATTGCACAGACACTTTATTTGGGCAAATATTTGAGTTCCTAAGTTGTCATCAATCGGCAATAAAAAACCTAATCAACATTCATTACATTAAAAAATCTTTGATTGATTCAAACATTTGCCAACAATTTGGCATCAATGTAAAAGAAAAATCAACAGTGACAGTAAAAGGCATTGAAGCATTTTTTCCTACCCCTTTGTCAGGGGCAATGTGCAACTATCTAGCTATAAGTTTCAATAAAGTCCACTACAACATCAGTCATCACTATTCAAACACAACAACTGACACTGTTGACATTAGTGACATTAATGACAAGGCACCTACAGAGCCTGTCATTAAAGAAATTGTCGCTACGGAGCCTCAAGTTGAATCAAGTGACTCTATACAACCAGATTTGCCCACTATAGACTTAAATACAGCCACTATTGTAGATCCAATTGTAGAGGCTGTAGAAGTGCCGGCTGTAGTTGTAGAGCCTACAATTGAACCAATTGAAAATGAACCTGAAGAAATTGTTGATGAAAACGTGGATAAATTTATGACTGAATTGAACACGGACAGTGTTGCCACTATAAGTACACTAGTGACAACGAATAATTTGCAAAAGGAGTCGGTGTTCTTGAGGCTTTCTAATAGAATTAAGGTGAGTACCTACATTTGGCAACGTTAATTGCAATCGCAAAAATATAAATGGAAACATGTGGCAACATTGCACCTTTTTTTAGTCTATTCGTGAGTCATTTTTATGGTTATCAACAATGAGAATTTAAATTGAGTTTTATGAGAAAACAAACTTTCGATTGGCAACACTGGAAATCATAAACGGCAATAGTTGACAACGTCAAACGCATTATAATTTTGTCAATTTGAAATTTAAATTTACCCCGTTTTTCTAAAAATTTGCAATGTTGCCAATTGATCGGCAAATTCCTCTGTATTTTTTAATTTCTACTCTTGATAAAAACATGTCAATAAAGCAATCCAATCTATATGGCGACCATGGTCAAACAATAAAATTGGCGCCAATTGACCGTTGCCGCCATATTGAATTTGTGTTTTGACAAGTCGTTGGATTGTCCCTTAAATTTGGAAGTATTGCGTCAGCGGACTTTGACGTTGTCAATTTAAAATTTGAATTTACCGCGCTTTTCGATAAATTTGCAGCGTTGCCAATTAATTGACGACAAATTCCTTTTTATTCCAAACTTTGGAAAAAAATATTTAAATAGAGAAAATTTGAGAACTTAAAATAAAAATTCTAAATAGAGAAAATTCAACAGATTGAAACTTGTTGGAACATTATAAAAACTCGTTGAAACGTTTTGGAAACTCGTTGAAAAATTGTACAAATTTATTAGAAAGTACAAAACAAAATTTAAAAAATGCAACGAATCTTTTTTAACATGTTGAAACACTGGAACCTCGTTGGAACATCATAAAAATTAGTTGAAACTTGTTGGAAAATGATAAAAATTCATTAGAAAATTCAATTTGTTTTTTTTTTTTTTTTAATTCAACGAATATTATTCAACATATTGAAACACCGAAAACTCGTTGGAACATCATAAAAGCTGATTAAATTTTTTCTTAAACTCTTTGCAAATTGATAAAACCTTATTAGAAAGTAAAAAAAAAACAAATTAAAAATTCAACAAGCTTTTTTCAACATGTTGAAACACTAGAAACTCGTTGGAACATTATAAAAACTCGACAAAATATTTCAAAAACTCGTTGAAAAATGATAGAAACCCATTAGAAAATTTAAAAAAAAAAAACAATTTAAAAATTCAACGAATTTTTCTCAACATGTTGAAACACTAAAAACTCGTTGGAACATCTTAAAAAAAAACCCATTGCAACGTTTTAAATTTAAAAACTCATTGGAAAATGATAAAAATTCATTGGAAAGTTATTTTTACAAGTATTTTTCAACATTTTGAAACACTAAAAACTCGTTGGAACATCTTAAAAACTCATTGAAACTTTTTAGAAATTCGTTGAAAAATGATAAAAATTTATTAGAAAGTTTAAAAAAAACAATTTAAAAACTTAACGAGTTTTTTTCAACATGTTGAAATACTGAAACCTCGTTGGAACATCATAACTTCTTGTTGAAACTTTTAAGAAACTCGTTGGAAAACGACAAAAATTCATTAAAAAATTGTTTTTTTTTTTTAATTTAACGAGTAATTTTCAACATATTGAGTTGAAACACTGAAAACTCATTGGAACATTATAAAAACTCATTGAAACTTTTTAAAAACTTGTTGAAAAATAATGAAAACTCAGGAACTTTAAAAAAAAAAATTAAAAATTCAACGAATTTTTTTCAACATGTTGAAACACTAAAAAACTCGTTGAAACATTATAAAAACTCGTCGAAACGTTTCAAAAACTCGTTGGAAAATTATGAAAATTCATTGGAAAATTAAAAAAAAAAACAATTTAAAAATTTAACGAGTTTTTCTCAACATGTTGAAACACTAAAAACTCGTTGGAACATCTTGAAAAAAAACCCATTGCAACGTTTTAAATTCAAAAACTCATTGGAAAATGATAAAAATTCATTGGAAAGTTATTTTACAAGTATTTTTCAACATTTTGAAGCACTAAAAACTCGTTGGAACATCTTAAAAACTCATTGAAACTTTTTAAAAATTCGTTGAAAAATGATACAAATTTATTAGAAAGTTAAAAAAAAAACACTTTAAAAACTCAACGAGTTTTTTTCAACATGTTGAAATACTGAAACCTCGTTGGAACATCATAACCTCTTGTTGAAACTTTCAAGAAACTCGTTGGAAAATGACAAAAATTCATTAAAAAATTGATTTTTTTTTTAAATTCAACGAGTATTTTTCAACATATTGAGTTGAAACACTGAAAACTCATTGGAACATCATAAAAACTTATCGAAACTTTTTAAAAACTCGTTGAAAAATAATGAAAACTCATTAGGAAATTTAAAAAAAAAAATTAAAAATTCAACGAATTTTTTTCAACATGTTGAAACACTAAAAAACTCGTTGAAACATTATAAAAACTCGTCGAAACGTTTCAAAAACTCGTTGGAAAATTATGAAAATTCATTGGAAAATTAAAAAAAAAAAACAATTTAAAAATTTAACGAGTTTTTCTCAACATGTTGAAACACTAAAAACTCGTTGGAACATCTTGAAAAAAAACCCATTGCAACGTTTTAAATTCAAAAATTCATTGGAAAATGATAAAAATTCATTGGAAAGTTATTTTACAAGTATTTTTCAACATTTTGAAGCACTAAAAACTCGTTGGAACATCTTAAAAACTCATTGAAACTTTTTAAAAATTCATTGAAAAATGATACAAATTTATTAGAAAGTTAAAAAAAAACACTTTAAAAACTCAACGAGTTTTTTTCAACATGTTGAAATACTGAAACCTCGTTGGAACATCATAACCTCTTGTTGAAACTTTTAAGAAACTCGTTGGAAAATGACAAAAATTCATTAAAAAATTCATTTTTTTTTTTATAATTCAACGAGTAATTTTCAACATATTGAGTTGAAACACTGAAAACTCATTGGAACATTATAAAAACTCATTGAAACTTTTTAAAAACTCGTTGAAAATAATTAAAACTCATTAGGAAGTTAAAAAAAAATTGAAAAATTCAACGAATTTTTTTCAACATGTTGAAACACTAAAAAACTCGTCGAAACATAAAAACTCGTTTCAAGAACTCGTTGGGAAATTATGAAAATTCATTGGAATTTTGAAAAAAAAAATAATTTAAAAATTTAACGAGTTTTTTCCAACATTTTGAAACACTAGAACCTTGTTGGAACAATTTAAAATCTTGTTAAAACTTTTTAGAAACTTTCTGGAAAATGATAAAAATTCATTAGAAATTGGAAAAAAAAAAGAAAAAAAAATTCAACGAGTTTTTTTCAACATATTGGAAACACTAAAAACTCGTTGGAACATAATAAAAACTCGTCGAAACATTTCCAAAATTAGTTGGAAAATAATAAAAATCTTTTAGAAAGTTAAAAAAAAAACAAATTGAAAATTCAACGAGTTTTTTTCAACATGTTGAAACACTGGAACCTCGTTGGAACATCATAAAAACTCATTGAAACTTTTAAAAAACTCATTGGAAAATGACAAAAATTCATTCAAATTAAAAAATTCAATTTTTTTTTTTAATTCATCGAGTATTTTTTAACATGTTGAAACACTGAAAACTCGTTGGAACATCATAAAAACTAATTGAAACTTTTTAGAAACTCATTGAAAAATGATAAAAATTCATTGGAAAGTTAAAAAAAAAACAATTTAAAAATTCAACAAGTTTTTTTCAACATGTTGAGACACTAGAAACTTGTTGGAACATAATAAAAACTGATCGACATGTTTCAGAAACTCGTTGGAAAATGATAAAAATTCATTAGAAAGTTAGAAAAAAACAAATTAAAAATTCGACGAGTTATTTTCTACATGTTGAAACACTGGAAACTTGTTGGAACATTTTAAAAACTCGTTGCATTTTCTTAGGAATTCGTTGCAAAATGATAGAAATTCATTAGAAAGTTCAAAACAAAAAAATTACAAATTCAACGATTTTTTTTCAACATGTTGAAACACTAATAACTCGTTGGAAGAATATAAAAACTCATTGAAACTTTTTAGAAACTCGTTGAAAAATTATAAAAATTCATTAGAAAGTTCAAATTTTTGTAAAAAAAAAAGAACCTCGTTGTAACATCATAAAAACTCGTTGAAACTTTTAACAAATTCGTTAAAAAATGATAAAAATTTATTATAAAATGGAATATCATAAAAGCTGATTGAATTTTTTTAGAAACTCGTTGAAAAATTGAAAATTGATGAAAATTTATTAAAAAGTTAAAAAAAAAAACAATTTAAAAATTCAACGAGTTTTTTTCAACATGTTAAAATTCTAGAAACTCGTTGGAACTTCCTAAAAAACCCATTGCAATGTTGCGAATTGATCGCGAAAATCTTTGGGTAGAAAAAGTATATTTAAAAAATTGTAAGGAAATTCTGTTTTATTATTAAAAAAAAAGTATGGCAACATTGCCGTTCTTACTCTAATATCAGAGGAGCATCTGTAGTGACGTCACAAATTTGTATGTAGAATTTGGACAACATCAAAGGCAATATAACTTTTTAAATTTACCGCGCTTTTCTATGAGTTTGCAATGTTGTTAATTGGTCGCAAAATTCCCTCTATTTTAGAATCTCTATGGAAGAATTGCGACAACGTCAAAGGCATTATATTTTTTAAAAATTAACCGCGCTTTTCTATAAATTTACAGTGTTGCCAATTGATCAAAAATTATTTATTTCAAACTTTGGAAAGAAACATAGTTCGTCTCAAAGACTCAATTAACATTGTTAATTCAAAATTTTAAATTTACCGCGCTTTCCTATAAATTTGCATTGTTGCCAATAATTGATTGCAAATTTCTCTTTATTTTAAACTTTTGAAAGAAACATGTTATTACCTTCTAGTCAATTCCTGTATTGCAAAATTAAATTTACCGTGCTTTTCTATAAATTTACAGTGTTGCCAATTAATCAAAAATTCTTTATTACCAACTTTGTCCCTCTCTAGTCAATACATACATAGTTAGAAAAGTTGCAACACTATTAAAATATTGGCAGATATATGTTTTTTAGGCTGCCATTTGGTATAGCTTCAGCACCAGAAATGTTTCAAAAGCAATTCAAACAAATTTTCGAGGGGTTAAACGGTCAAGTGTCCTATACTTTGTCAATTAGAAATTGAAATTTTCCGCGCTCATGTTCAAAATTTCAGTGTTGCCAATTCCTCTTCGTTTTAAACGCTCGAAATGATCAATTCTGGGAAGAATTGCGATAATGTCAAAGACATTAGGCATTATAACATTGACGTTGTCAGTAATTGGAAATTCAAATTTACCGCACTTTTCTATGAATTTTCAATGTTGCCAATTGATTGAAAGTTTTTTTTTTTAAGTAGGATTCTCGAAAGAAAGATATACCTCTCTAGTCAAAACAACAAAATGCATTATAAGTTTGATGTCAAAATTTGCAATGTTGCCAATTGATTTAAAATTTTCCTTACTTTACTTAACACTACAGTGACTCAATAAATATTTTCCATAGTGGCAACAAATGCCGTTCTATTTTTGATTGTTTCTTTAAAATTCTATAGATTCATATTGAAAAATTTTCAAGAATATGGCGGCGTGGCTTACTATAATACTTATATTTAAAATGTGCAAGAATAAGGCAGCATATTTTTATTGTCACCACAGTTTGGAAAGGTTTATTGATTCACTGTAATGTTGACGTTCTCTCAATTCAACATGGCGCCGTGGGAATAACACACCTGACAAGGTACGTTTACAATCAATTCGCATTCAAATTTCACTCAATTGGAATTAAATGTAAACTCACTTTCACGGTCGTCAAGTTTGTTTCGCCCACGTCGCCATCTTGAATAATGAGCTGATTCAAAAACATTATAACTTTTTAAACTTACCACACTTTTCTATAAATTTGCAATGTTGCCAACTGACAACAAACTTCTTTTTATTCCAGACTCTTGAACGAAACATGTCCCTTTCCAGCCAATACTTGGAAGAACTACACAAACGCTACAAAAAACAAGTGGAAGACATGCAACGCGTCCTAGAAAAAACCCTCCAAGACGTGACAATAAAACAAGAAGAACGTCACAAACAAATTGAAGAAAAACTAGAATCTCTTACGAGAGCCATGGAAAACCTATCAAAAGAAAAAAGCCAATGGAAGTGGTTTTTTTGTTGCCTGTTTGTCGTTTTTGTCTGTTGTTTTTTATATGGCGCTCGTCGTTTCAATAGATGGAAACCGGCGGGCGCGGGCGCTGTTGCCAAATCTAGCGAGATACAACGTCGCAATTCTGTTGACGTTGTAGTATCAACCAAGACAAATAAAAAAAAGAAGAGACGTCCTAGTGATCAGGCATTAAAAATTGTCCTTGCTGCGGGTGACCAACAAAAAAAGAAGAGGAAAAAATCACCGATGGATGGTGATTGGGTGACTAGTAGGTGTCAGATTATTGAAGACATTCCGTTTCCTTTGGAAGAAAGCGATACGTCTACTCTAGAACCGGTAAATTTGGTAGATTCGAGTAGAATAGATGTTCCAGATTATATTACAACCACAGCGGCCAGTGTTCGTTTGAAAAGGTCAATGTCCATGAAAAATGGCAAATACTTACCACAAACAACACGCGTAGAGAGTTCTGAATCTTCAAATAATAGTCTGTCAAGTAACGAGCAATCGACGCCAAAGAAAATGAGGAAAGGATTTAAGAAACTTTTCAAAAAAGTATTTTGAATTATGGGAAATTACATTTTTATATTTATGTATTATTATTATTGAAAAAGTCAGTTGTTTCTAGATCTACATACTGTGATAATTATAAGATTAATTTATTTATTTTACAAAAATTCAGAAGAATATTTTGTTTTAGTGCTTCTCGCCTTCAATAAACTCAAATAATCATTAACCAATTTGTTTAAGTTGTCACACTCATACCCAGTTGCCTCCTTGTATTTAGTTTGCGTAAGCTGCACCAAAACCACCAGTAAAAATTCGAAATTCTTCAAAATAAACTGTTTTTGGTCTTCGTTTTTGAGGCCTTGCTCGTTGTACCGTAATTGGGCCTCAAAACATTTTGTTAAAGTTTCATCAATAGAGTGTAAAAGTTCTGTGGTTTTTAGTTTGAGGCAATCGTCCAATAGAATTAGGAAGGATTTGGTAAAAGCCAAATTGCTTGAGGTTAATTGGAGCCAAACATCTCCAGTGACGTAGGTGTCGAGTTTCAGGCCTAAAACTGCATATTCTTGAAGACACCTGGAATAATTTTGATTGTATTGGCTCCTAAAAATAGATTTCTTACTTTCAAATAAGCACACTTGTGACGTCACGAGATTTCTAAACATGAAGATAAACTCATAAATTAGACATTAACATTTTGTCCCTAATGATGAAATTCTTTAATCTCGAAACATATAGGGCTCTAATGCTTTAAATTTATTAAAGTATTCGTCGAAGAAGGGGATTTGGTAACTTGGTGAGACCAACTATTGCAAAATGAAGAGATTGAGAAACAAAACAAGTGAAGTGGCCTTGAAAAATTACTCTCATTATTAACTTCACAAAATGGAGAATTTTTCAAAATCCTGTAAGAAAATTCTGTTAAAATATCAAGTCTAGCATCAGTCAGATCCCGGTAAATACACGCTACTACAAGATTGCTCATTGGCTTCGATTTTTGGAATTAAAGTCATCTGGTCTTGCACCGTTGTGGACGTCATCATCGGTGTCATTAGCTGTTTTAGTTTAGAAAATTAAATTTATGCCAAATCATAACCTGTGATGCAAACATATTAGGTCAAGACAACGACACGCTAAACACGTCATCATTGGTACTTTCGCGTGGTGGAAGGCTCGAGATTTGATTACACGCCTCATGAAGATAAGCTACCCTGTGTAGTGTTAGTGTGTAATATCTTTGGCCTCAAATGAGCATCTATGTGTGACGTCACACATTTGTAATTAAATATAACTAAACTATCCTCTTTACTTCAAGAGTCGTGAATATTGAACATTGAAAATGATCAACCAATCAAATCGATTTTGACGCCATTTTGTAATTTCCAATTGTCATAAAACGATCAAAAATTAGGTGGTTATGGAAAATTATCTCAACTATATCAAACAAAAAAAAAAAGAATATTCTTATTATAAGCGACCATGGAAAATGATTACAAAAAGCGCTTTATTCAAAGTAATTGTCAAATGTCAACGTAGGTAGCCTTGGAAATGTCAACTTAAACAAAAAAGAAAATTTCCAACGAAGGTGGCCATGGAAAATTATTTCAGTGATATAAAACAAAATTTTTAGTGATTTTTATCCAAGATGGCCATGAAAAATGATGACAAAAAGCGCCTTATTCAAAGTAGCTGTTAAATTTGAACGTAGGTGGCCTTGGAAATGTCAAACACTTTAACAAAAAAGAAGAATTCCAACGTAGGTGGCTATGGAAAATTATCTCAACTATATCAACCAAAAAAAGAAGAATATTTTTGTTATAGGTGGCCATGGAAAATGATAATAAAAACCGCTTCATTCAAAGTAAGTGTCAAATGTTAACGTAGGTGGCCTTGGAAATGTCAACTTAAACAAAAAAGAAAATTTTCAACAAAGGTGGCCATGGAAAATTATTTCAGTAATATCAAACAAAAAAAAAATATTTTTAGTGATTTATATAAGTACAAGGTAGCCATGCAAAATGATGGCAAAAAGCGCCTTATTCAAAGTAGCTGTCAAATTTGAACGTAGGTGGCCTTGGAAATGTCAAATTTTAACAAAAAAGGAGAATATTTTTATCCAAGTGGGCCATGGAAAATTATGACAAAAAGCGCTTTATTCAAAGTAGCCGTCAAATGTCAAAATAGGTGGCCTTGGAAATGACAAAAATTTAACAACAAAAAAAAAAATCATTGTAGGTGGCCTTGGGAAATTAATGACAACAATGTTAAACAAAAAAAAAGGAAGATTTTTATCGCAGGTGGCCATGGAAAAAATTATGAAGACAAGCGCCGCATTTGAAGTAGCTGTTAAATTTGAACGTAGGTGGCCTTGTAAACATGAAACTTTACCAAAAAAGAAGATTTTCATCGTAGATGGCCATGGAAAATTATGACAACACTGTCAAATAAAAAAAAAAAAGATTTCTATCGACATGGAAATATCAAACATTGAAAAAAAAGAAGATTTTCATCGTGGGTGGCCATGGAAAATTTTGATATCAAAACCAAAAATTCACTTGAAAAATTAAAAAATGAGAATTTTTAAAGGCCTTTGAAAAAAATTTATCTTACTGCGAAAAAAGTTTGGCAACACTGTTGTCAACCATCAGAGAGCCCTTGTTTTTGCGTTTACTTTTTTGAAAACAAGTTTGAAACAGCGATGAAACCATGACGTCACATCAAAATTAGTTTAAACCGTTCCGAAATACAATTCAATCCACATTTTGAAACCATTTTCTCGCGCCGAGAAATTATGACGTCATGTGACAGTATTTTAAACCAGTTTTGAAAAACATTTTAAAATATTTGAGCCACGAATTAACACCTTTGGATGAGCATCTGTAGTGACGCCACAAATCTGTATTCAAATGAAACTAAACTATCCTTCTCTTTGTTTGATTAGTTATTTTGATCACTCTTTCTCTTTCTATTACATTACAACACACGTCAAAATTTTGACAGTCGACTTAAAAACCATGTACCGTTTCCAAAAAAATCATTACCTTGCTAATCCACTTCTCGTATTCAAATTGACAGGAATCCACTTTTCATCTATCGCTCTCAACTTAATCGAATCGACAAACTTATCTCTTGCGTCATTAAGGGCTTTACTTAGCGGAGCCCTAAGGGCCCCATCCAACTGGTACCGGAAATCCACCCCATAAGTGCACAACCGCTCGCACTGCGACCTCACCAAAACCACACACTCCGTAATGGTAGACAAAGATGTTTGCGGCATAAAAACTTGCTTGGCAAAATGAGTAGTAAATAAAGATAATTCCCCACTTGCCCAGACTACATAAGCAGATGCGCAGTTTGCACAAGAGTCTGGAAAGGCCCTTAGAAACTCTTCTGACATGTGACACATGTTGGTGAAGACTACGCTTGATAGATGACGCACGTATGTGCTAGTGGAGCCCTCTCTTTTCACTCGTTTGCATTGGATTTTTAACATGCTGCTGCAAAGCTTCAAAAATAAGTCACATGATTGGGTAGAGCGACCCAATTGGTTTAGTAATCTGACAGCTGTTCTGGTGGCTCTTAAACCACCTTGCAAGGATTTTTCAGGATTAACTTCAAGCTCTTTCATAAGCATTTCAACTAGGGTGTTTTGTTTTTGGTCGATTTTTTTCTGAATTGCTCCCACATGTTCTGGGTGTTTGTTTATGTAGGTTTTTGATTTGTTTATGTGGTTGACAGCGTCTTCGAATTGTCTTTGGGCGATGCAAACGTCTAGTTCGTCAGGGATGTCCAAAAACCAATCGGGATGGGTGAATATTTCTTCAGGCTGGCTGTTGATGCTTAAGTCAACTGAAATGGAACGGGCAGGGGAGATTTTTTCCAAAGAGGATTCGCGTTTTTGTTGCTCTTGCACCAAGCGGGTTTTTTTGGCTTGATCAATCTTATCCAGCCACTCTTTCTATAAAAAAAAAAATATTTATAACTTATACAAAACAATAGGCAATTTTTCGCAAGGATAATCAAGCAAAATCTGATTATGCTGGATTATGTGATGTGTCAATTGTGTCATACTCCCTTTCCATCAAATTCTGGGCCTGCGAGTGACGTCACTATCAGCAGGTGCCGAATTCTATGTACGAGTCGAGTCGAAATTTGTATCGAATTGTCAAAATAGCAATTTTATTTTCCAATTTATCAATACCTTTACACGGTAAGTCCTGAGCTGTCCTATTCGATATCGAGACAATTTGACTCGACTCGTAAAATAGAATCCGGGGGCAGATTATATTGATGACGTCACCTGCAGACCTCAATAGAATACTTGTGATTCAGGCTTTGCTAGTGAGATAATTTTTTGTCGATTTTAAATGTGAAAAATGATGTGATTTTCGGTCTGTTTTCGTAGAAGAAATTAGGTGTTCTTGATCCTCAAGCATCAAAGAATTTATTGGTGGGGGAGTATGACAATTGACACATCACATAAGCTAGCATACTTGAGTATGCTTGTTTATCCTTGCCTAATAAGTTGCATTGACATACTTTACTAGCATTAGATGAACATTGGAATACTCGTGTATCTGGAAATATAAGCAACTTGAATGCGTGTTTAATGTTGCCTAAATCTCGTACATTAACCACAGCCAAGCTACTAAGTTCGTATAAGCTTTCAAAGGCGTATCGCATCAAGCCTCTACTATTAGAATTTCTGTTTGTTAGCATTAAACTATCATTAAACAAATAAACATGTACAAATTTGATTGCTGTATTCTCTGTTGCGTCTATTTCAAGCAAATCTCCTTCGAACAATAAAAATCTATCCGGAGCTTCAACTACTTCTTTACAGTTCTCAACCTTATCCAAAATTGTTGCCAGTTTTTGCTTGTTTTCCTCCTCAAGCTCTTGTTCGTCTAATTTTTCATTTCTAACATCAAAATGAGCCCTGTTGTCTTCTAAAATAGACGAAGTACTCAGAGCTGTAAGCAACCCTTTTTGCTCTGACAACAAGTGAGAAAGTTGATACATTTCACTTTCTAAGTGCGATATTTCTTTGGCAGTTTCGATGAATTGCACGTAATTTTGGTAGACGTTTTTCTTCAAGTTATTGCTGGTTTCGTCGGCCAACGCCTGGATTTTCTTTTTGATGTTTTGCAGTTCCAGACCGCCCACGTAGTTTTGGGAAATGTCTCGCACGTATTTTTCAGGGGCGAAGTCCTGGGAACTTAGTAATGAGAAATTTGGTTCTTTAGGAATATCCATGATGAATTTAAATGGGTTTTTTAATTATTTTAAGGGGATTTGTTTACTATTTACAAATTAATGTCAACAAAATTTGAGGTTATGTTGAATGATGACAGCTCAGGGTCTTATAGCGATTTCAATTAGATTGCGCTTTTTTGCACTCAGTGTGCACTTTTTGTTATTATCGTTAGCGGTTCAACTAAAATCGGTTCCGAACAGTTCCAATTCTATTTTCTGTTCCAAAATCGTTCAGAGTAAAATAGAACCACTCCGTTACCTGCTCCGAATTTAATGATTTTTTGTAGGAAGATATACTCTTAGTCGCAAATCACAAATCTGAAATTTGTTTTTGTTGCTCGCGTTTCGTTTCCAAGATATCCATCATCAGATTTACTCTACGATTTCGCAAATTTTTTGCACAGAGGTATTTTCTTCACTGACTCCATGTGTTCTAAGTACTTTCGAATACTGTATTTGATCCAAATACTCTATCTGTTTCGAGTTCTAGCACTCTACCCTGAATAAGTTCAAAATTGGTACGGAGTGTGTTCCACGAAAGCAATTATCGCTTTTTTAATTTTACTGCTCGCTCCAAACATAATTTGAAATCAATAGCCGAACGTACTTTATTGTTTTCATCACTCTTTGATCCATCGAATTTGACGGAGCAAGAAAGAGCGCTCCGAGCGAGATTTGAGAGCGTTCTATTGCTCAAGTAGAACATGTGAATCCGGTTCGGATCGCTTTTTGATCAATCGAGTGCAGTTTAGAGGCAAAAGTCGAAAGCGCTATGAGAGGTTTAACTAAAATCGGTTCCGAAACAATTCTGAATAGTTCCGAGTGTTCGCTTTTTGTTTCGAAATTGTTCAGAGTAAAATAAAAATCACGAACTAGTTCAAACTTGGAAATGCGCACTAGCGTAACTTTGGACTACTCCGATCAATCTGAACTATTTGGAGTGAAATTTCTTACGCTTCAAATACTTGAAATGATATATCCTTCTGCAAACCAGTGCAAGAATCATTTGAAACTCGTTTTAAAGTTTCGGTTCGCACTGCACTAGAGCTATTTTTCAACAAAAGAAAATGTCAAATAATAATTGTTCCGACACAAAGTTGTTCACAAAACTCCGAATTTATAGTAACAATTCTTTGTTCGCGGTTCAACTAGAACAGTTCGGAAACGATTCTGAATAATTCCAAATTTTCGTTTTCTGTTCCAAAATCGTTCAGAGTAACAAAAGTTATTATCCGTTAGCCTCTCTGATTTCCCTAGTTTTCTGCACTGAATTTTTGTCGCTGACTCTATCTGTTCCGAGAATTCTCGAGTTTACTATCTGTTTCCAGTACTCTATTTATTCCGGGAAATCTAGATTACTCTATCTCTTCAGCACTCTCGAGTACTCTATCTAATCGTTACACTTTAACTGTTCCGATCACTCTGAATTGAATAAAAATCTTGAACTAGTTCATTATCGGGTTTGCGTTGTATAATAGTTTTGAACTAAATCCAAATTAGTTTAGAATGTGATCTATGAACAAAATTATTAGCTTGAGAACTGATTTGGAACTATGTTGCAGGCACTGTACAATTTATGACGTTCATGCATCACAAAATTCCGATTTTTTAGTCATAGTTATTTGAACCAGTTCCAAAACGACTCTGAACAGTTTTAACTTATTGTTTTCTGTTCTACAATCGTTCAGAGTCAAATGAAAATCCTAAACTGCGCTCTATAAACTCTGTTCCCACCGACATGAGGAAATTACTGTACTAGAACGGTTCTCATGTTGGTTGGAACAAAGCTTCAATGTTCCTGAGCTAGTTCTAAATTGGTTCGAAATGTGTTTCACGAACAAAGTTTTCAACTCCGTTAAAAATAAGGATTCAGAACTGATTCGGATCTTTGTGCACATTTTTTTTGAATTTTGGTCGCTGATTCTTTCTGTTCCGAGTATCTGTTCCAAAAACTCTAATTGTTCCGTGCACTCTATCTGTTCCAAACATTTGTGGCGAATATCAAAAATAACTAACTACCGGAAAAGGTAATTTCTGGAATTACTATGAGCAATAACGTTATTCTAGAAGTAAACTTGTAGTTATTCTGTCAAAATAGTTTCATAATCCTCGCTCTAGAACTGTTTCAAGAACTTCAACTATTTCAAGCACTCTAACCTTAACATAGTTCCAAATTGGTTCGGAGTGTGTTTCACGAACAAAGTTGATAGCTCCGTAAGAAATAAGGATTCAGAACTGATTCGGAGCTTTTTGCACAGAAATACCTATATATTTGAATTTTGGTCGCTGACTCTATCTGTTTCGTGCACCCTTGAACACTGTAACTGTTCCAAAAACTTTTATCTGTTCGGAGCACTCTATGTGTTCCAAGCATTTAAATTGTTTTGAGTACTGCAACTGCTCCAAACACTCTAATCCTGAACTAGAACTAAATTGGTTCGGAATAATTTGCATTTTTTGTTGCAGTTCTTTGTTCGCGGCACAACTAGAATCAGTTTCGAAACGATTCTGAATAGTTCTGAGTTTTCGTTTTCTGTTCCAAAATCATTCGGAGTAGAATGAAAATTATAAACTGAATTATCACCGAGTATGCACTCTATAACAATCCCAGTTCTAAATTGATTTAAAATGTATTCCATGAACAAATTTGATAAATTCGTTAAAGTGGGAATTGCACAGTATTATATTTTTGAATTTTAGTCGCTCATTCTATCTGTTCCGAGCACTCTCGAATACTATATCTGTTGCAAAAATTCTATCTGCTCCGAGCACTTAAACTGTTTCGAGCACTCCAACTGTTTCAAGCACCTGAACTGGTTTCAAATTGGTTCAAAATGTGTTCCGCGACTAAAGTTATTAGCTTTGTTTCGAAATTTGGAACGGTTCTGGGATTGCGCAGAACTGCTCGTGTACAAAAAATATTATAAGACTGTCCTAATACCAATTCTGGATTAATTTGGAACCAAAATAAGCCACAAATCCAAATGTAAATTCCAAAACAGTTCAACAGTTCCTCCTTCAAAGCAAAAACTAAGTACCACTCTAGAACAATCCCAGAACTGTTCTTATACAGTTTTAACTGTGTGTTCGGTATTTTGATCTGAGTTCTCCGAGCTTGAATTCACCGTTGGTTTATTTAAAAAGAGTGTTCGGTGCAGGTTCATTTGCGTCCGTTTATTAACATTTCTAACTAATACAACGTTCAACTGCTCTGTGCGCTCGATGATCATGTAATTACAGCTCCGCTCCAGTACCTATGTTCTGCCAATCGCAAGCTAAATAACAATTCTTAAAAAACGAAAAAGTGGTTATATAACTTGCGCATATGAAGAATGATTCCGAACTTGTTCTGAGTGAAACCAAAACAAAGCTGTCATCTGATCCAAGCATTCTCGAGTACTCTAGCTGTTCCGAGCACTCTCAAATATATACTCTATCTATGCTAAGCAATTTATCTGTTTCAAATACCCAATCTGTTCCGAGCTTTTTATTCGCGGTTTATTTACAATCAATTCCAAAACGACTCTGAACAGTTCCAAGTTTTTATTTTCTGTTCCAAAATCGTTTAGAGTGTAATAAAAATCGTACACTGGTTCAAACTTGGATATAGATGAGTTCGGTAATTACCTCAAACTACTCCGATCACACTGAATCGTTCATTTAAAAAGTCTTGATGTTCGAACTGCACTAGAACTATTTTTTATCGAAAAAAAAACTTCACTCGTTATTGCGGTGCCATCTATTATCAAATGTCAAAAGTTACAGTCGCCATGTTGGAATTTGACATCATTCAACATGTTGAAGAATATATCGTGACACTAGTTCGTGTTCCACCAAGGATGATACACACTACTACTACAGGATAGCCTATTCTCATAAGGCCTGTGTGGAACAAATCCCCCCTCCCCAAGCCTAATCACCAGTTGTGACGTAGGCAGCATGTTATTTCTCGCCTTGACGTGGTTCGTTATGACGTCGGAAATGGTGACACAACAATATGGTGGCGATTACAAAAACAATGACCAAAAACGAGGCCGATAAGCAATCCTGTAGGTGTGTATCATCTTTGGTGTTTCACAACCTTGAAAAAAGTTACAAAAAATAAATTTAAAAAATATTTTCTTCAACTATTTATTTTCAAATCCCTTAAATACTCAACAACGTCAATTTCGTCCTTCGAAAATCGTTTAAACGCTTCGGCGCTGGCACCCAACTTGTCCAAAAACTCTTCTTTTTTCCCATCAAAATTCGTACAAACAAAAATTTCGTTTAAATCTTTTGACAGCTTATAAGCGACCACCATTTTAAAAACATCTTGCAACGTTGCCAGAATTCCTGGCCTCAAAGTTTGGTCCCGCAAAACTATATTTGCAACAAAAAGACCTCTTTTGCCAATAACTTTGGATATCGAGCCCAAAAAATCCGATGCCAAAAACTCTTTTGGCGGGCAACTCATTCCGATTTCCGTACTTTTACTGTCAACGTCGCACAAGATGGCGTCCACCGTCAAACCTGAAAACTTACAGTGTTGCCACCACAAAAATTAATCCTACTACTTACCGTCTGAATCCAGTTGCCTTATAAACTCCAAGCCATCTTGGATTTTTGCTTGTAATTTTGAATTGGGTTGAAATCCGAACCATTTTGTGGCAATTTTGAGCATTTCAGGATCGATTTCAACCCCTACAATGTCGGTTTGGGGTAGGAAATTGTGCAAAAATGAACACAAACCGCCCCCACCTAAACCTAAAACCACTACTTTTGAGTTTTTATTGACAGCCGCGTGAGCTGCAATGCTCATATACACATGATGCTGACACGTCAAAACTGTCAAATCTACTACTTCTTTTTTGGTGCCGCTACGTTGCCGGATTGTTTTAAGTTTGGCTTCGGATTGGATAACTAATTGGGAGCTGAGGTAGTAAAGTCTGCGGTATTTTAAATTATCGTCGTTATGTTCTACGTCTTCGATGATGTAGTTGCCGGAAAAAGGCGAGGTGCCTTCGTGTTTAATTGTACGTTTGCCTAGCTCAGCCGAACCAACAGTAAGAAAAGGGATCTGCAATTGATTTGTGGGTAATTGGACAAGTGATTAATGACAAATGACACTGACTTTTCGTGCTGTCAAGTTGGCAGGAGCCAAATTACAAACAATTTCCTCCAACTCTTTTTCAACCAGTTCGAGTGACTCATATTTTTGGCCACGGTGCATTATAACTATTGTTAACCGATTCAACTTGGTTATTTCAATGAGATTTTTTCTGCCAGCTTTGGTTGAAAACAACCATTCGGCTTCTCTTCCTTCAGGTACTATTAGAGCCGCATATGCGGCATTTTTAACTTCCGAATCGATTTCTACAACGTAAATGCTATATCTGGGCGTGTTCGGATTTTTAGGATCGAAAACTTCCATTTCGATTTCATCTTGAGCTCCAATAGTTGACTTTTTTAATGCGTTACATACAAATGAAGCCCTTTGCGTAGTTGATATGTGTTGGGTGACTTCTTCAGTGGTTTGGCAACGTTGCATTTTGTCTTGGGCGAATAAATTTACTTCTAAAACCTGTTTGAAAAAAAAAAATACATGGATTTGTCTTTTACTAGTGACGTCATTATAGATGTTTGGCACAGTAATTGAATCTTCAGCATCTGTAGTGACGTCACAAAAAACAAATTACCTTCATAGGCAAACTTTTAAATTTCGTGCAAATAACCATAAAAACGGGCATGGGGTTTTCGCCATTTTCAATTGATTTTGCCTCAGATTCAAAACATCTAACAACCCTAAACATCCAATTATTTTGCGGAAAATAGTCCAGCAATTTGCTTAGAATGTGCTCCTGCAATAAGCTTATGCAAACATATCTGCCACTTGGTCTCAAAATCCTTTGCAATTCCGCAAAATATTTGTCGATTTTTTCCAGAGTTTCTTTGGAATTGTCGGGCATTAGAGCGTCCAGAGTGCCCTTGTCAACTACGGCACTGAACTGTTCATTTGAAAACGTGGTGTTCAGAGCGTCCATTTGAAGATACTTCAAGTTGGGCCTGTTTTTGTCGATTTGCGATTGCATTTGCTTGATTACGACGTGCGAAATGTCGATGTTGGTGATGTTGCTTGAAAAAAAGAAATACCCTATTGTGGACTGTGGTGGCTAATGACAGTTGAGATTTTTGAAAAAAAGAAGATTTTTAACTGTCAAAAAATATATTATGTATCATACTGTATATATTAATGTCGTAAACATATATCGATATATACCATTTATCGGTTTATCAACCATAAACAAATATCACAAATGCTTGACCATCGCCGCCATATTGAATCCCGGCATGGAACAAGGTGGTTTGAAATTAAAAGAGGAAGGTTGCCTGATAACTTTTATGACGTCATCTGTAAGCCTAAAATGAATTCATCTTTTTGTCATTACCAGACAACCTATTACAAACAATTAACATTTCGCCAATTATATCGGCAACGTCGCTCGAAGATTTTGACAGCTGCGTCAAAAATGTCAATTTACTTATCTCTGTCTCAATTTGTATAAAAAATGAAAAGAGATAGAGGGCACAAGGCTGCCAACTGCAAATTCCTGAAATCCAAAACAAATCAGATGACTTTTAGTTGAATTTCAGCCATCTTGGAGTTCCAAAAATCAAAAATAATAATTTTACAACTTCGTTTATTAACAGCTACGTCAAAAACGTCAATTTGCTTCTTTCTGTCTCAATTTAATAAAAAAAATAAAAAGAAATAGAAGGCGTCAAAGCTGCCAGCTGTAAATTTCTGAAATCCAAAACAAATCAGATGACTTTACAAATGCTCAACCATTGCCGCCATATTGAATCCTGGCATTTGTGATTTGGATCCAAGATTCCTAAATGTTAATAGGTTGTCTGATAATGGCAAAACATATGACGTCATCAGGTGGTTCTTATGAAGATTTGCATTAAGATTAGATTTCTAGATGACGTCATAAAAGTTACCAGGCAACTTACCTCTTTTAAACAATCTTGGTTTGGATCGAGGCTATTTAAAACATTTAAGTTGCTTGCAAGGTTCTAGTTGATTGAAGATTTTCATGACGACATCGGTATAACCATAATGCAAATTTCCATAAGAACTACCTGATGACGTCATTTTTTTTGCTATTACCAGGCAACCTATTACAAGCAATTAACATTTTGCCAATCATATCAGAAACGTCGCCTGAAGATTTTGACAGCTGCGTCAAAAACGTCAATTTGCTTCTTTCTGTCTCAATTTATTCAAGAAATGAAAAGAGATAGAAGGCATTGAGGCTGCCAACTGCAAATTTCTGAAATTCAATACAAATCGGATGATTTTTAGTTGAATTTCAGCCATTTTCGTGTTTCAAAAATCGGAAATAATAATTTTGCAACTTCGTTTATTGACAGCTGCGTCAAAAACGTCAATTTGCCTTATTGTGTCTCAATTTATTTGAAAAATGAAAAGAGATAGAAGACACAAGGCTGCCAACCGCAAATTTCTGAAATCCAAAACAAATCGGATTATTTTTAGTTGAATTTGAGCCATTTTAGTGATTCAAAAATCGGAAATAATAATTTTGCCAATTCGTTTATTGACAGATGCGTCAAAAATGTTAATTGACTTCTCTTTAACTCAATTTATTCAAACAAAATGGAAAGAGATAGAAGGGGTATTAGGACTACAAACTACAAATTTCTAAAATCCAAAACAAATCAGAGTTAGTTAGTTGAATTTCAGTCATTTTGGTGTTTCAAAAACCGAAAAGAATAATTGACAGTTGCGTCAAAGCGGTCAATTTGCTTCTTTCTGTCTCAATTTATTCAAAAAATGAAAAGAGATAGAAGGTATAAGGCTGCTAACTGCAACTTTCTGAAATCCAAAACAAATCAGATCAAGGATGATACACAACTACAGGATTGCTTATCGGCCTCGTTTTTAGTAATCGCCGCCATATTGTTGTGTCACCATTTCCGACGTCATAACTAAGTCATCAGCTGTTTAAACAGCCTAAATTAAGGCGAGAAATAATATGCTGCTTATGTTACAACTGGTGATTTGGCGTGGGGGGATTTGTTCCACACAGGCCTTATGAGGATAGGCTATTCTGTAGTAGTAATGTCGTAGTGTGTATCATCCTTGAAATCAGATGACTTTTAGTTGAATTTCATCCATTTTGCTGTTTCAAAAATCGGAAATAATAATTTTGAAACTTTGTTTATTGACAGCTGCGGAAGCGAAAATTTAAGAGCCGGCAATAAACAAAAATTGAGAAATAGACAGAAGAAATATCGATATAGAAAAAAAAAGAAGAGACTTTGAAAAATATTGTAGCGATACCTATGAATATCGATACAACCTTTTCTAGCTTCATCCTTGTCAAATAACAGAAATTTTAAAAGAAACCCAAATCTCTTTCTATTTTTCTCTTTCTCATGTCCATGATATTAAATAAAGATAGGAATAGTGACAAGTCAAAGCTCTTAAATGAGAGAGATTGTCTGGTAACTGTAAACATATGACAACATTAGGTGGTATAATGGAGATTTTCATTTTGTTCAAAGCATTGAGATGTTCAAGGTATACAGATGACGTCATTATAAAAGTAATCAGCAACCAAGGTTACTAAAGCTGACAGAGGTTGTCTAATGTCTGGTCATGGGTAAATTGATGACGTATCTGGGATATCCATATCTCTGATCTAGGAGGACTTACACAGATTTTGCATTATAGGCGGAATGTTTTGAAACGTTTTAAAACGCTACATTTTAGTATTACAACGGTGACGTCATATAGGGAAATGGTTCAACCAGTTTCGAACCGCTCTTTCAGCCTGTTTTAAAATAGACGGTAAACAGCTGACCTCGAAATACCATTGGTACAGTAGAGATGTCACGTGTTCCGTTTTAGAACGGGGCATTTTTGATCATCACCGATATGATGACGTAACACTCGAACCAATTTTGAAACGTTTTAAAATACGGTTCAACAGAAAAAGAAGTCTCATGTTGAGGCACCTTAGATGACGTCATGAAAGTTATCAAGCAACCTAGAGTAAAAATCAAACGAGAAGAAGCCACTGTCATCAGCGCTGACAAAGAAAGCAGATTTCCTTTTCTCTACGCCCCTACCATTTAAAGTGAGACAAACGATAACCCGTGTGGCTTCTTCTCGTTTGATTTCTACTCTACCTCTCTCAAACCAAGGATAATACACACTACTTAATTGCCGTTCACAATGACCATTTTAAGGGAGGTTCAACGGTAATCAATGCTTAAACCAATGAACTATAATCAAAAACTGGAATGCGAACACATATTGACGAACGTGAAGCCTAGTGCCGCTGCGGCGGAGGGGATACCTGTTTTTGTCGCACTCATTATGTTAAATGGCGGAAAGTGCTTCCAACACGTATTCCAGTTGATGAAACCTGTGAAGGTAAATATGACAAAACTTTCTAAAACGTCATATATGTCAGCGAGCAACAGAAAAAAACAACATTCCCCTTTGTGGCATTTGTCTTTCATGGCTACATTTTTTTGGCAGATATGGCAATGTGTGCGCATTCCAGTTTTTGACTATAGTTCATTGGCTTAAACTGACATTTTTACATGTGAAAATGTCACTTTAAACGTTGATTATCGTTAAATCTCCCTCAAAATGGTGGTCGGTGCAATCCAAGGATGATACAATCCTACAAGATTGCTTATCGGCTTCGTTTTTGGTCGTCAGCTGTTTAAACAGCCTACGTCAAGGCGAGAAATAACATGCTGCCTACGTCACAACTGGTGATTTAGCGTGAGAGGGTGTAGTAGTGTGTATCATCCTAGGGGGCAATCCAATCGGCCATAAGGATTGCTTATCGGCCTTGTTTTAAGTAATTGCCGCCATATTGATGTGTCACCATTTCCGACGTCATAACTAAGTCGTCAGCTGTTTGTACTAGCGGTCCCAGTTAAAAGTTTAAATTTATGAAAAAAAAATATTATTTAATTTTAATTAACATAATAGGCAAGGAGGAAGATGGAAATGAGATCTAGAGAAGATTTTTTTTAGAATGTTGATTAATGTAGTAAAACTAAGTATACATAAAAGAAAACCCCGCTGGAATCATAACCTGTACTACTGTAGTGCAAACAGCCTATATCAAGGTGAGAAACGACATGCTGCCTACGTCACAACTGGTGATTTGGCGTGGTGGGGGACTTCAGGTTTGTTCTACATAGCCTTAATGAAGATAGGCTAAAATGTAGTAGTAGTGTGTATTATCCTTGCTCGTAAACAACTTTGATCAGCTCCAAGGTTCCTAAAGTTAATCGGTTGCCTGAGTGGTAATGGGTAACTTGATGATGCACTTGGGGTGCCTTATGGAGATTTGCAATATGTTAAGGCACCCCAGATGACGTCATAAAAGTTATCAGGGAACTTACCTCTCTCAAACAGCTTCGATCAGGCATCCAAAGTACTTTGGTGACAAGTGAAGTGACAGTGACAAATGTCAAATTTCAGACGCTTGATGTCCGGATACCAAAACAAATAATCAATAAACAAATAAATACAGAATCGCATTTTATTCTAAACAGATTGACGTTCTTTAAATCTTTATTATAGAACCGTAATTAATCTGAAATTTCGATATATCGAAAGTACAATATCGATAAAAAAAAATATATCGATATATCGTTGTCATTACTATCAGCGATTTCAAAATTTACTTACCTACAACCTACATCGTACAAATCTTTACCCAATGTGGAATTACCGCAACCGACAATCAAAATTTCGTCTTGTTTTTTGAGGTATTTGTGCAAGTTTCCGCATAATTCTGGATATTCTCCATACCTGGAAAAATGGTGGTTCCAAAAGTAGTTATTACAGTTTTCTTCTTACCATTCAAAAGCCTTACTGCCGCGTTTCTTGAAGAAATCGTCCCAGTACTCTTTCTGGCTGAATTCGTCTTTCGATTTAGGTAGTAAATTCATCCTGAATATCGATAATTATTTACTAATAATGAGCTAAACTCTGATGAAAATCAAAGTGTTGTGTTTACAATTTAGGTTATGTTCTATTATTAACTAGAGGTCGAGGAGGGCATATCGATATATAAATCGATATGCCCTCGATGATAATGCATATCGATAGGAATTTGTCGTTTCCCTATATGTATCGATAAGTCCATCTCAAAGTTTTGAACTTTATTTGAATAAATCCAAGAGCCGCGAATATATAAAAAATTACGGAGTGACCGATGCCGCCATATTGAATTCTGTCATTTGTGGTTTGAAGACAATCTTTTACAAGCAATTTGTCAATAAATAATAGTACATTTATAGTGTTTTCTTTCATCTTTGCACTAAAATCCAATTTAGAACGCAAAATCTTTATTTCCTAAAATTTGTACAATTTCTTGTAACAAACAATTTCCACTATTAAAATTTGTGCTACTAATGACGTCATCACAGCCTAAAAAATCTTTGAGCACTTTAGAAATTTGCATCAAATCGAACACAATGTGATTGGTGCCGATTGAATGGCCATGAAATAATACTTTTGAGGCTTCGCCTTGCATCATTGCCAAACGTTTTTTGCAAATAAAAACCAAAAAATCGAAAAACCCTTGAAAATTTAGGCCAAAAAGGCTTTTTAGCATGAGCTGGCAATGCGCATTGAAGCCATCCATAGTTTTGCAATCCTTGATTTCCTCTTTAATTCTGTTTAAGTTTTCTTTCATATTTTGCCACATTAGGTTTATATTGCATCCGTTAACCCAATTGTGGTTAATGGAAATTGTATCTTCCATGTTCCAAACCTGATGGTACCAGCCTGAAGGCACAAAAATTGCCTCGCCAGGATTTTGAAGTACCTCAAAACATTTTCTTGAGTGGTTTATTTCAGCAATATCATATGGTAGAATGTTGTTTGAGTCTTTGAGGTAGTTTTCTTCGCCGGGAGGGAAAAAAAGCCACTTTTTTTGTCCGCAAACGTTCACCGACCAGCTAAACGAGCCGAAAACGTCCGAATGAAGCGGAGTCCTAAAAATGGGTTTTTATTTAATAAAACTAAGGCACGGTTTATTCATCTTCAGATAAACTTACTATCTCTGTTAATTTTGAAAAGAGAGAAAAAGATAGCAAATAGGGAGTCCCACTCCAGATTGTAAAAACGCAATCTGGGCTGGGACTCTGTCAGCCATATTGCATACTTCTCTGACAGAATATGAATAAACCAACCCTTAAAACAATTCTTACCAAGTGCCTTTTTGTCCCATATAAACAAACCTATAATCATCCTCTTGGCATTCAACAAAATACTCGTTCAGCCAATCAGAAGCAAAATAAATCGGAACTTCATAAAATTGGTCGTTTTTCCGTTGTAACTTCAAATGCCAATCTTTTAAATAAAAATCATTGGTTTCAGGCCAGTCTTTTAAATATTGTGCCAGGGTTGCTTCAGTGCATTTTTGCGAATTAAAATAACGCTCGGAGCATTTGTATATCACGACTTTTGTGTCTTGGTAGTTGGCCATTAAATGGTCGATATTTGGTTGGCCGTTTGTGACCCATTTGTGCGTCGATTGCCAGTCGTTAGAGACGTTTTTTATAATACAAGGGACGTTTTTTTGCATGTAGTTTGCGAAAAAGTCTCCATAAGAAAAGTTATTGGAGTCAATTGTCGATATGTTAATTATTTGGTCATAATTTGTGGTAGTTTGGTTGGAATTTGTTGGGTCTACATCGAACTCCATTATACAAAGAAGCAATTTTTATAGAAAAAATTATTTGAATTTTTCAAACAAAAAAAGTAAGGTTATGTTGCAAACAAAAAATCTACTTCGTTTTTTTTTCTTCTGTCATATGCACTTTATCAAGGATCACAGACATAGCCTAGTTCATAGTATTTGTCTTTTGCTAGTGACGTCACTATAGATGCTAAATAATTCATTAACGTTTAGGGCGAGTTCTCATGAACGTAAGTTGACATACCAGGCGTAATCACGTGATAAAATGGTTGGGTTTTATTGGTAAAATATTCGCCATGCTGGATATTTTACCAATCAAATTACACCATATTATCACGTGATTACGCCAGAAATGTCAACTTACGCTCATGAGAACTCGCCCTTAGCTTGTTTCTTCAGCACAATGAACTTCAGCATTTGTAGAGATGTCACCGCAAAATAAATGACATATAATATTGACAGTTGCGTTGTAGAGGCAGCTTCTGTACTTAGAGCTTTTTGAATTGTGGCGCGTAACCATTGAAATACATCTAAGGCCGGTTTCTCATGAGCGTAAACTTGACATAACTAGCGCAAATGCTGAATACGTGAATTTTGGCGCAACATTCACATGGAGTGGAGAATTTATGCCGCCGCGTATGTCAAAATTATATTTTTATCCTTAATTTTGAAATATTTCTTTGAATTTTGATTGTACAAATTTGTATTTGTTTTTACTTTAGTTCCAAATAGTTACAAATATGGACAGTAAATTACAAAAATGAAGGAAACGAAACGGTTGCAACCTTAACCTCTAAAAACGCTGAATTTTTACGCAAAAAGTTCAACTTTGCTCAACTTTTGGCGTATCTGCGGCAAAGTGTCAGCGTATCCAATATAGCGGGATTTTGGCCAATCAGAATTCTGCATTCAGGTACGCTGTCACGCCATAAATGTCAAATTACGCTCATGAAAAGCCGCCCTAAGCTTTATTCCAATCCACATCAGAACCGTTCTAGAACGGTAATTTCCAGTTGATTAGAACTGGGTTCGGCTTGCACACTCCGAGTGACTCCGTTCGCACTCGAGCTGTTCGGGTATTGCCTTTTAACGAATCAGACAACGGCTAGAGTGCGAACGGAGTCACTCGGAGTGCACGGAATGTGCAAGCCGAACCCAGCTTAGGATAAACATTCAACTTATTGAAAAATAAGTGGGCAACTGAAAATTAACGTTCTAGAACGGTTCTCATGTCGGGTTGGAACAAAGCTATTATTTATAAAGTGGGTTCGGCTTGATCACTCCGAGTGACTCCATTCTAACTCCGGTTCGGGTATTGCTTTTTGGCGTATTAAGGGTGCCTCCACTAACCCAAACAGAGGCAAATATGTATCATTATTGTGGAGGAACTGAAGCTAATTTATAGTACATGAAAAACCAAAGACAAAAGTGAAAAAGAAAAAATTGTAAACTGGAACGGTAGGTTATAAAGTCACGGTAGACTGTTGTTTCGAAACAAAACAAATTAAAGGCGTTTTCTCGCGGGGCGAATGGTTCGAACTACGGTTTAAACCAATTTATAGATGACGTCACCATTTGTGAACGCGAGAAAATGGAAGGTTCGAACCACAGTCTTATGTCAACGGAGAACAAGCCATGAGTCCGGTTCGAACTTTTTTGAACCAGGTTCAATGTGACGTCACTGGTTCAACGCAAGAATGTACAGGTTCGAACCGGATCGAACCAGTTCCACCGCGAGAAAACAGCTCAAGTATTTAACATTTTTGCTCCGACCATTCCAGTCGTTGGTGTAATAATTTTTCGCTCTAATCACTTCTAGATCACGTGACAAAAATCTGTTCTCACTCCACTCCAACTCCGTGCTGAATAGCCAAACCCAGCTTTAGTCTTATTCTACTTTTCAATGTGAACAATCGAGCATAATTTTAACCTCCAAAAGTTTAGTTTGACGTGTGGTTTATGCTCCCAAAATACAAAAAGCACGTCGAATTAAACAACATTAAACGTCAAACAAACAGAACATAGTTAGTGTAAATGAAGCAGAAATTAAAGCAATTGGAACACTTAGAGTAACTCGAACAATAGAAGGAATTCAAATGGAATTAATGCAAATGAAATACTTAGAGTATTTTGATTCGAATTAGCGCAAATGGAACAGTATTAAGAGCGGGTATTATAAAACTGCTTTGACAGTTAACTTGAAGTTAACTTTTTGAATTACATGTAATTCCAGAAGTTAACTTCAAGTTAACTCTCAAAGTAGTTTTATAATACCCGCTCTAAAACAGTCAAAATAGTTCGGACAGTTGAACAGATCAAAAAGAGTCAGTGCACTTGGAACAGTCAGAGTACAATTACTAAAAACCCAAAATTAATTTTCAAATCAGCTTACTTTATAGTGGATAAATTAATTTTTTAGAAGCATATTAAAGTAGTTTAAACAGTAACAATCAGAGCAGTGCAAAGAAAACAGAGTTAGTGCAGATAGAACAGAAATTAAAGCAATTGGAACACTTAGAGTATACTCGAACAATAGAAGGAATTCTAATGAAATTAATGCAAATGGAATACTTAGAGTAACTTAAATCGAGTTGGTGCAAATGGAACAAAGTTAGAACAAACAATTTATTTCGGACTGTTGAACAGATCAAAAAGAGTCAGGGCACTTGGAAAATTCAGAGTAAAATTACTAAAAACCCAAAATTAATTTTCAAATCAGCTTACTTTATAGTGGATAAATTAATTTTTTAGAAGCATATTAAAGTAGTTTAAACAGTAACAATCAGAGCAGTGCAAAGAAAACAGAGTTAGTGCAGATAGAACAGAAATTAAAGCAATTGGAACACTTAGAGTATACTCGAACAATAGAAAGAATTCTAATAAAATAAATGCAAATAGAATACTTAAAGTAATTTAAATCAAGTTAGTGCAAATGAAACAGAGTTAGAACAATCAAAGTATTTCGGACAGTTGAACAGATCAAAGAGAGTCAGGGCACTTCGAAAAGTCAGAGTAGAATTACTAAAAACCCAAAATTAATTTTCAAATCAGCCTACTTTATAGTGGATAAATTAATTTTTTAGTAGCATATTAAAGTAGTTCGAATAATAACAATCAGAACAGTGCAAAGAAAACAGAATTAGTGCAGATGGAACAGAAATTAGAGCAATTGAAACACTCAGAGTAACTCGAACAATAGAAGGAATTCAAATAGAATTAAAGCAAATGGAATACTAAGAGTGTTTTAAATTTTAAATCGAATTAGTGCAAATGGAACAGTCAGAGTAAAATTACTAAAAACCATAAATTAATTTTCAAACAAGCCTACTATTATAGTGAATAAATTCATTGATAAGTAACATATTAAAGTAGTTCAAACAGTAACAATCAGAACAGCGCAAACAGAACAGAATTAGTGCAGATAGAACAAAAATTAAACCAGTTGGAACGCTTAAAGTACCTCGAAGAATTGAAGGAATTCAAATGGAACTAATACAATTGGAATGCTTAGAGTAATTTAAATTGAGTTAGTGCAAATGGAACAGAACTTAAACAGTCAAAGTGGTTCAGACAGTTAAACAAATCAAAAAGAAGTCAGTGCACTTAGAACAGTCAGAGTAGAATAACTAAAAACTCAAAATTAATTTTTAAATCAACCTACTGTTATAGTAAATAAATTCATTGATTAGTACATAATGGAGTAGATCGAACATTAACAATCAGAGTAGTGCAAACAAAACAGAGTTAGTGCAGATGGAACAAAAATTAAAACAATTGGAAGACTTAGAGTAATTCGAACAATAGAAGGAATTCAAATAGAATTAATGCAAATGGAATACTTGGAGTAATTTAAATCGAGTAAGTACAAATGGAACAGTCAAAGTAGTTCATTCAGTTCAATAGATCAAAAAGTAGTTAGCGCACTTGGAACAGTTAAAGTAGAATTACTAAATAAAAATCCAGAATTAATTTTTAAATCAGCCTACTATTATAGTAAATAAATTCATTGAATAGTAGGTATATAAGGGAGTAGTTCGAATAGTAACAATCAAAGCAGTGTAAACAGAACAGAGTTAGTACAGATGTAACAGAAATTAAAACAATTGAAACACTTGGAGTAACTCGAACAATAGAAGGAATTCAAATAAAATTCATAGAAATGGAATACTTGGAGTACTGAAGTGCAAATGGAACAGAATTAGAACAGTCAAAGTAGTTCGGACAATTGAACAGATCAAAACGAAGTCAGTGCACTTAGAACAGTCAGAGTAGAATTACCAAAAATTCAGAATTAATTTTCAAATCAGCCTGCTGTTTTAGTAAATACATTCATTGATTAGTACATAATGAAGTAGTTCGAACAGTAACAATCACAGCAGTGCAATCAGAACAGAGTTAGTGCAAATGAAACAGAAATTGAAGCAATTGGAACACTTAGAGTAACTCGAACAATACGGGGAATTCAAATAGAATTAATGCAAATGGAATACTTGGAGTACTTTGAATCAAGTAAGTGCAAATGGAACAAAATTGGAACAGTCAAAGTAGTTCGGATGGTTGAACAGATCAAAAAGAAGTTAGTGCACTTGAAACAGTCAGAGTAGAATTACTAAAAATCCAAAATTAATTTTTAAATCAGCCTACTCTTAAGTAAATAAATTCATTGATTAGTACATAATGGGGTAGTTCGAACAGTGACAATCAGAACAGTGCAAACAGGGGTGCGATTTTCGAAACCATTTGAGTACATTTCGTACACGAAATTTGACTGCTCCCCATTTAATTTACATTGCTGTCAGTCAAATTTCGTGTACAAAATTTACTCGAATGGTTTCGAAAATCGCACCCCAGAACAGAGTTAATGCAGATGGAACAAAAATTAAAGCAATTGGAAGTAACTTGAAAAAACAGAGTTTAAACTGTTAAAGTTGTTCAGACAGTTGAACAGATCAAAAAGAGTCAGTGCACTTAGAACAGTCAGAGTAAAATTACTAAAAAACCTAAAT